CTGCACGAGGACCCATCTGGGTGCTGCTAAGTAGAAGGGTGGTTGATCTCTTTGTGGTCTGGGATCTGTTTATATGTCAGTCAGCTGATTCATGCTGCTCACCAGCATTTATTGTTGTTCCAGAAGCCACACAGGCTGCAACAAAGAGTTCAACAGGCCTGACAAGCTGAAGGCTCACATTCTGTCCCATTCAGGTACGTGGTTGGGACTTGCTGGGATGCTGCTGGAGCCTGTGACAGAAGGAAAAAACCTGAGAAATAAGAAGTGAGATCTCATTTAGAGCTGTGCCTAAGCTTTGGGCCGTTTCCTAAGGTAATATAATCTGTAGGCAGTGAGACTTGGGAGCAGAGCTGATTCCTTGGTGTATGTGCTATGAAATCAACATCCAGAGTGCTCTGTCCACCCCTCCCTGGTGCCATCTCACATGCAAAAGGAGATCTCATGGGATTTGATTCCCTTCTCTCTCTGTTTCAAAAAATGATGCTCCCATTCCTAATAAAGACAATTTATTCCCATGCCCGGGGGACCATTTAGACTTGTCTCGTGGGGTAGAACTGAAAGTCTGTTCTTGTGCTCAAAGCCCTGTAGAGATCACATGGGATGTGCTGACATGCAGTTAGTTGTTTCTGACTGCACATTACCATAATTGGCAGGAAAAAAGTGAAAATTTCTTTACTTTCTTTATATTTGAAAAAATTAATACTCTAAGATGGTTTTGCATTTTCATCAGAATTCCCTGACTTGATTTTCTGGTGATACTTGAATCCTCTTACTTGAGGAAAGAATATTTATTTGCAGTCTATAACTTCTTCCCGAGGGGCAGCACCAGCCTCTGCTCTCTGTGGCCAGAGTCAGGACAAAAGGGAATGCCATGGAGCTGTGTCAGGGGAAGTTTAAGCTGGATATTAGGCAAAGGCTCTTCCCCCAGAAGTGTTTGGGCACTGGAACAGCTCCCCAGGGCAGTGGTCACAGCCCCAAACCTGACAGAGCTCAAGGAGTGTTTGGACAATGCTCTCAGGCACAGGGTGCATTGTTGGGGTGTCCTGAGCAGGGCAAGAGTTGGACAGATGATCCTTGTGGGTCCTTCCAGCTCAGGATATTCTGTGATTGTACAAAGGCTAGAACAGTAGTTAAACATGGAAATTGACAGTGTAGCTGCTCACCTTTTCCTAACTGCCAATTTCCCTGGCACAGCCTCCTCCCTTTCATCAAGAACTGTCTCCTTGGCAGAGGAGATTCATGGTATGTTAAGAGGTTGGAATGAACTTTAGAGATCATCCAGCTTTAGAGATCCCCCAGCCCCAGCCCCCTGCCCTTGGCAGGGACATCTCCCACCAGAGCAGGTTGCTCAAGGCTTCATCTAACCTGGTTTTGAACACTACCAGGGTTGGGGCAGCCACAGCCTCCCTGGGCAACCTGTACCAGTGTCTCACCTTCTCTTCTCTGCTGTCACCCTCTCCTTGCTGCAGTGGAGCTCTCCATGAAGCTCTGCCCTGGGATCCAGGTCTCTAACCAAGCTTTCTCTCCTCCACCACTCCCTGCAGGGATGAAGATCCACAAGTGCCAGTACTGTAACAAGTCGTTCAGCCGCAGAGCCCACATGGTGGAGCACCAGCGCTCCCACACCGGCAACTACAAGTACCGCTGCCCCACCTGCAGCAAGGGCTTCACTCGCCACAAGTACATGAAGGACCACAAGTGCCGTCTGGGGTCGCCCAAGGACAAGGAGCTGCAGCTCAGGAAGCCCCAGAAGAAGCGAGTGGCCAGGGCACGCAAGGCAGGCCTGGCTCTCCCCTCCCAGCTGGGGCTGCCAGAGCTCAAGGACGGAGCCGCCACTGAGAGCCCCCCCGAGGGTGGCCCCAACAAAGAGCCCTTCCAGGAGTCAGATGCAGTCCTGTCCATCGTGGTTGGTGGCTCAGGAGCTGCTGATTCAGACCTTGTTCCCGGGCAGCCCAACAGCATAACGTCCAACCTGGCCCTGGCAGAGCTGCAGACTGCCCCCGACGGGCCCTGCACCATGTTGGCTGTGCCTGTATACATCCAAACGGCAGAGTGACAATACCCAGAGCCACTGTGTGGCTGAGGGATGCTGCTGGGGCTGTGGCATTTGGTGCTTAAGTTGATCACAGTGGAAGAAGACCCAAGCTCTTGTGGGGAGGTGGATGGATATGGGAGAGAATGAATGGCTTTCATCTCCACTGGTTCTTCCCACCCTTGGGCAAAGGACTGCTTGGAAGCCATCAAGGGCTACAAGGCACTGAAAAGAGGGGCTCCATTATTTCTTGTCCCTCTGAATCACAGATCAGCTTAGGGCAAGAAGGACAAAGATCCCTGAATCAGGGTAAGAAGAAGGAGGATGCAAACAGAGCTGCTGAAATTAGGTGGCTTTGCAAATCACAGCCTGTCCCATCTGTGGTTTTTCTGGCCTAGAAGCTGTATTGCCCAGTATTTGGGTGACCCTTCCGAGAGCAAACAATTGATCCTTCCTAGTGGAAGCAAGTTCATCCTGAGATCCTTTGGGAACACTGTTCAGAAATACCCTGATAGACTTATGTCTGGTATCTTATCTCTCAGTAGAAAGATCACCATGTCTGTACTCCATGTGTTATAAACACCCTGGACCTCATGTGCTGTGTGAAGTCAGTGTGTGGAAATGTGTGTGTTGCCTCTTCTCTGCTTGGTGGTCATCTTCTCATGGCTGTTTTCCCCACATCCAAGGATTTCCAAGTGCCTTAGACATCAAGGAGTCAATCCTTGAGAACAGTTAAACATGACACCTGTGTTTGGTGGGGAGGGACCAAGTTCTGGGTGAGGTGACCTGTCCTCCAGGGTCACAGGAAACCTGGATGCATCCAGGAGTTCTAGTGTCAGCTCTGGGCAGGTGCTGCGGGGAAGGTCTGTCAGCTCATTCCAAGCTTCCATGTGCCCTTAGCTCAGTTCTGTGGGACAGGGTTAGCAGTTTCAGTGAGGAGTCAGTGTGGATAACCAGCAAGAAAGTCCAGCGTGCCTGGGACACTTCTGTTGTCTGCTTGTCTTCTCTGATTTCCCAAGTAGGAGTCCCAAAGCCATCACAGAAGCACCAGCCCCAGGAACTGGAAATTTCCATTGTGCAGTGTTGGTAAAGAAACTGCACAGGCAAGTGTGGAGCTCGAGTGGGTGGAGAGCAGACAGGTATGTGCTCCTTTCTCCACTGCCCTGCCAGGCTCCTTCCTGGTACACTGCCACAGGCTGCACTCACTCTTAGGGAAGGGAACTTAACCTAGATCTGCACATCACTCTTGTTCCAGGTCCTCCTGGGATGTGTCCCCCCATGCATTCTTCCTCTTCCATGTGTAGATGAGCCAAGCTGAGCTTTCCCTGGAGAATGTGTGTGATGAGCTGCTTTGTGGGCACAAAGTGCTGTATTTCTAGCCTGTTTCTCTGGAAGTGCAGAGCAGAGTGTGGGTTCAGTCAGTCTTGGGAACTCCTGGCTGTGGAGTCCCAGCCTTGCCATATGTGAAGTGTGTTACTGGTCTGACTGGCCTGACCCTGCAGCCTGTCTGAGCTCCACCCATTGCTTGACGTCAAGGTGCTTTTCCTGTCTCCTTGCTCAAGTCTTAAGACCCTTAAAATCTCAAAACCAGCATCTTGCTGGTCCCCTCCCGTGTGCCGGATCCCCTCGTG